ATTGTGGGGCATTGAGTTAGCCTGTGTAGTGCTGGTGGGAAGCAAACTGATGACCAATCAAATTATCAGGGGTGCCCGCCGTTTTATGTTCCGGAACAGGGAGTGGTGACCTCTTGGGCCCGGTTCATTGGTCATAGTCTTAATTTCTTTGCTTTTACCATACATACTCAACTGACCATTTACTCTCCACTAACCTGCAAACCTCAGGTCAGTATTATGTTGGAATTCCCTACATTCAAATATGTCTGGAACCTATGATGATTCCAATTCCTGGTCTTAAAATGTGTAACATTCATTTAATATTTTATAATTAAAGCACTGAAAAAAATACTTTGTTCCTCACCATCATCCATTGGATGTCTAGTCTATGAAATTTAATCAAAATCTTAAATGCCGTTTCCGTATTCCTTAAAGTTTAATTCATACATTTATATAATTATGTGAAAATATATTTTGGTAAGTAGAATAAGCAGATACCATCTACAGTCAAAAGTCTTTAATCTGGACCTCAAAGCGACAAATTTTCTGCGCATGCGTGAACGCGTAATACTTTCACGCATGCGTGTTTAATGTATAACGAACGGCATAAGCTAAGCTAAAATTATCTATTTCAGCTAATGTTGCAGATTGCGTTGTTCCTTAATCTTCGAATTGGATTCCGCTTATTATTTTTTGCAGACTGTTAGAGCAATTTTATAAAGTAAGGTTGAACTTTCGATTATGTCAAAAAGAATTTCGATCTGGAGCTGCCAAAGGATTTACAAAGCGAAAGCATATTTCGATGTCATTAAACAAAAAGTGGAATTGCTGCAAAAAATAGATAAAGACATGAAGAAAGGACAGAGAGGTGATTTGTTTCTCTAACCATTCCAAAATCTGTTTATAAATTTTCACGCTGCTCTGCGGGGGGGGGGGGGGGGCACTCTCGGCACGCAATGACACTGGAGTTGACAGTCAACGCTCGGCTCTGTGGTGGCTGATTTAAATGAATTTCCTCATCATTATAAATATCACGAATACGCATAAAATAGTTTTCTGGTTGCAATTTTCTAATCTCGACTACGCATAATGTATGCTTTAGGCATGCGCGCGTTAAAAGAAATTTTTAATATAGTAAACAAATAAATATTAAGCTTTTTTTCGTAAATTTTGATACCCTTTAGATCACAATTGCTGTTTATTTCATAAATTAAGATTTCATATTTTTAATTGTATAATTTCTGCATGCCATCTTACCAGATTTAAACCGATGATCTATAATCTGGAATCGCCGAAGTCCCGACGAGTCCGGATTAAACACTTTTGACTGTACTAGATATTAAATAATTTTTAAAATCACTACTACAACAAAAACCTAATTATTTGACATTCAACTAACGAAAAGGCCCACCTGCATGCGAATGGTTTATATATATATATAACCCTGGTGAAGCCTGGTAGTTCCAACCTTGTTTCCAGGTGAATGAGCTGGATGCATGGGCTTTCATTGTGTTTCTTCAGGTGTATGTATACGAGCCAGTTTCTCTTAGAAAGTTTTACATGAAGATATTTCTTCCCTTAGGCAGATAGTCCTAGTGTGCTTTACCATAATGAACTAAGCTAAACCAAACCAACTAACCAGAGAGCTCAAGTAACCGGAAGATTTAAAAAAAAAGAAAAAGTTGCAGAAAAACTTAACAAATGAGAAATTTGTCACAACATTATACAGCTTGTAATATTAACATGAATACATTACCATCAAGCAGTGTGACTGACGCTAATAATGGATAATCATGACTCTATTATCTGGCATGTGACATTGTCCAAACTTTTCAGATGGTAGAAAGTTTACTTTAGTTAAAACTTTTAAGATCTGTAAAATATTCCAAAGAATAAATAAATAATTATTACTTTTTTTAATTGAGAAAACATAGTTTTTCCCTCTTTAGTTATCCTTTGTGTTAATCTGAAATATTTCAATGAATAAAAAAATCATTTTTACATTTTTTTAATGAGAAAACATCCCCCCCCCATTTAGTTATCATTTGTGTTAGCTAAATGCTTATAAAACTTCTCTTAAGAGTAAGAATTCACTGTATTTTCTAGTACAAATTATAAATTATGAAACATGAAGACAACCTACAGTCATTTTGATTCAAACTGAATATTTTCACTTTGTAAATAATTACCCAATCCAGGTCAAACTATGTAATCAAAAGAATTGTTAGGAATCCTATATAATATGGGTTAAATGTTTAAAAAAAAAGTGTAAGGTAGGTGCAATATACATTATGTTGAATAGCTAATTATTCAGGAAAAGAATGAAAATTAGCAACTCTTTATTTCCTTCATTCCCCTGCCAAATCCAAGATGCATCTTTCTAAAAAATTACACATCTTAGAATCAAAATACTTTTTTCAATTACTAATTATTCTAAAAAACTTAATTTTTTTTCAATTACTAATTTAAATAAATGCTTGTTATTAAAGTAAAATCAATTGCTAAGTATTTTCTGAATGTAATTCAGGAGTTTTATTTCATCTAATTAATTTTCTTAGAACTAAACAAAAAAAAATTTTTTTTTTTTTTAACAGTGGTGGTGTACTGAAATTAAGCAGTGCATCTCTGAATTGGAAAATATACATTCAAGCTATTAAACTTACATAAATTACTGAAGTGCAAAGTATGTTTTTGAAGAGCAAAAATTTTGATATTTTTTTATAAGTAACTCGTAAATACGGTTCTGTGAATAATTTTGTGGAAAAAATATGTAACAAAATAAGGCAAACACAAAAAAGCATGGAAGTGTTTATTACAAAATAGCACAACACACAGCGCGTCTCCTTCTGACGGTACTTCCGAGACTCTTGTACAAGTGTTTTTCTACTTATATATTTTTTAAATGAAAGATTATTAAACAATAGCTGATTAAGTAAGAAACAGATGATACATCATCAGCTATTTTTTATTAATCCAAAAATAATATTATAATGAATATAGCAGACTAAAAAAATAAATTGCATTTTTCCAATCAGGCAAAAGGGAGGAATTCACTTATATAACAGGAACACTTTTAAGAAAAAAATACTTTCAGAGAAAGCAGATTCTACAAAATGTACATCTTTAAATACACATTCAACAACTGAGTTTTTTTTTTTTATTTCTAAATATGAAACAGTTACTAATTTTCTGAGTGCTCTGTGCTATGACCTGGTGTATATTAGGTAAAAAAAATTAACAAACATTTTTTTAAAAATATTCATAATAAAAGAAATCTTCAGTAATGTTAATTAAAATTTTAGTTTCTAAAAATACATGTACAATTAAATGACACCATTTAAATGCTAATGCTAAGACCGAAGTTCCCACATATTTATCAAGAAGTAAAAATACCATGAATTATAGATACATATAATAAATAAAGTTTTAAGATGCTTAACAACATATATTTTTAATTAATGAAAGTTAAATTATATTGATGGATATGAAAAAAAATATATATATGATTTTTCTAACTTTCCACGTATTTACTCAGTTCTCCAAAGTCTAAATATTTAGTGTGCACTGCAAAAGCGAACAAGAACACACGACACACCCGTAAAATTTTTAAATGTACAAAAAGCACTTCATAATTAACACAAACTTTACACACACTAAAGGTTCAATTCTTCTGTTTCAAATATAGATGAACATTAGCAATTTTTAAAAAAGGAAATAAAACATTGGAATGTTATATGAACTTGGAAAATTAATAATTGTAATAGTTTTAGAAATATTACAATCATAATTATTATCGCAAAGTAAATAGTCTTAGAACTTTAGATAAATAATAAATAATACTTGAATTCTTCATGCACCGATTGAAAAAGGAAGAAAAGACTGTGGGAAATTCCAAACATATTTTGCATACTAATGAAGCAAAATTTACAAACGAATTTATACAAACATATTTTGCTTTAAAAAATATTTGAAATAGGACACTGGAAGTAAGACCTAAATTCAATTTAACCAAGTAAAATTGATCAAGTGGACTTATTATGCCTGCATTTCAGATTATTTTAATTAATAAACTAAAAATTTTATAATTATAATGCTGTGCTTCCTCCAAGTTCATGGAAGACAACTTGCAAAAATTTTAACACAGTCATTGTTTTCACAATCTCTTAAAACAATGCAGCTTCATAGTTCCAACTGTGCATACTGTTTCTTAATTTTTCAGCTATATATGAAAAGTAAACTTTTTTAAATAAACGCATAATTTTATTTTGAAACAAAATAACAAATTTTCATTTTTTTATCATTTATACAAATCTGAAAATGTTACATGTAGTAAATATATATTAAATAATGACTTTTTAAAAATATCACAAAATTCTAAAATTTTATTATATTTAATTATAGTATTTATTAAATCAAAATTTAATGTTGATAATTCTATTAAGATACTCAATAATTTGAGAACTTCTATCTTACACTATGTTAAAAAGGGTGAATACTGTAATTATTGATCAAAGTATTTAACACAACAGGCAATTAATGAAAACATGATGTTGCCTGAATTTTCTCAACCCTGAGTGCTGTTGCCCAATTTAAACATTTATTAACTACCTAAACTTTTCTGAATAATGATTAAAACAAGGTAAAATATATGCCAGCATAGGAAACAAGAGTTTCAGGATGTCCGTCGTAACAGATGTTGTAGATTTCATGTTTGGTAACTGCACATTTTCGAGCACAACAGTGCGCATGGAAAAATAAATCACATAAGAAAAAACTGGACCACTGTGATAGGCTAAATGAATGAAAAATTTGTCCTTCCTAGGCGAAAAATGCAGACAACTTCCTAGCCAAATGTCTGTACAAGACCTGTAAGCCATTTACAGGCACTGGAAAATTAATCAATAGTAGGTAATGGAAGATAGTTATGTCCAGTAATGTGACATCACACTTCCATAACACAGATCTTTAGTATGCTTCTCCACGAAGCTATGTAATTGCTGTTTCACCAGTGCACTAGAACATCATGAAGAGTGTCAATCAGTCATGAAAAAAGATATGATGGCCATATCTACAAATTGTATTGCCCAAATTGCAGGCACTGCTTATCATCAAATGGTAAGGTACTTTATGAACTGGAACTAAACATCCAGGTTTAATGTCAACCACTTCCAACATTTGTTAAAAAATTCTGTAATTAAACTATTCACTGACAACACAACTTTTGCTTCTTCTAGTATATTTTGTCTCCATACCATGGGAATGTCTGCATAGTGGTCACCAAATAGGAGGAATGATGATACTTTTAATAAATCACTTCATAGACTGTTGCCTTCTTGTCACCCGATCCTGTTACGATATATTTGTCATCAGACGATATATCGCAGCTCAGTACTGAAGATGATTCTTTGGACTAGGGAACAGAAAAAAGAAAAATTAAATTTTAGAATATAACTCATGATACTCACAAACATAACAAAAAATATGTATATAAATCACATTTATATATTTTATTCAGAACTTTCACTTTTTCTTAAGTATCCATTAAATTTTTTTCTTTCCTCTTATTTAAGAACAATTCAAAAAGTTTTTGCCCATCATTTATCTTTGAAATATATGCCGCAATTTCATGCTTGGTAACAACACATTTTCAAGTGTAGAATATGGCTTAAAAAAATAAACCACACAATAAATAAACAAGCAAAGCAAACAAACAAGAGGGGGATCACTGAAATATCTAGTAACATTTTCAAAAGCATAACATGTATTAAATAATTATCCTGTCAGTACAAGGGTTAATAGATGTAGTTCTTATATCAGAGGGTCCTGGTTTGAATCATGGGTAATCTGTGGTTTTTTAAGTAGAGCAAGGAGTTAAATGCTGTCACAATATGAAATTTCTCTAAGACTATTTTTAAGAAATAGAGATGGAATTCCACAGAAGTCTAACTGCCTATACCAGAGCCCAAAATCTCAGACCAACAACTCCTTACTTTATGGGGCTATAGGTATTTGACGATCACCAAAATAATTATTATTGCCTTTTTCTCCTATTATAATAACACACTTTTGCATAAAATTTACAAACTGTATCAGATCTGCATAAAAAATAAATTAACCCATAATAGTGACAATTACTTTGTACTTCTCAATCAAGTGGAAAAAAAAGCAAAATTGCTCAATTGTAGCTAACTTGTATAACATGTAAAACAGAATTTGCAAACCTTGGAAATACATAAGTACATGTCTTATTATGAGGCTGGTTACAAAATTAATTAAGCATTTCTTCTCATAAGGTTGAAATTTAGATTAAATTTAATAAACTTAAATTTTGGATTAAATATTCATTCATATCAAAAGAAAACTACAAAAATAATTCATAATATTCTTTACAGATATATAAATTTTAACCATAACTTTGTTATTATAAGCTTTAATTTAAACCACTACTTAAAAAAAATACATATACGAAATGTGAACAATCCTGTCCTCATACCTGCTAATTTTGTATCTATGTTTTATTGCTCACTTTCTTTTTGAAAATAAATGGTTTAAATATCATAGACAATGAGTTAAGTGATAACGTGATTTAATAGTGAAATAACAGTAGCTAATTTTGTCAATATTGTGACTTTTATTATTTTCTAACCTCTTCAAAACTAACACATAATACTCAAAGATATTTCACGCATTTGGAGAGAAAGAATAGCTTAATCTCACAATCACTGAAAGGTCAGGATAAAAACATCAGAATGCACAACTTTCATGTATCGAAAATGAAGTATATTATAAATATATAATGGAGTGTACAGTACACTAATAACATCACACAGCATTTGGTACTATCTGCAATGATCTTAAAATATATTCCCTGCAAATATGATGGCACTATTGACCTCAAAATTTCAGACCTTACAACTCAAGCCACAAAAAATTTATGCACATATGCATGTACACCTATTTGAGAGATTATTATGAAGATACTCAAAATATTAAACTATTAAAAAATATTATTACTTTTATTAAATATTTTTAATTAATTTGTTGCAATAAAAAAATTTAAAAAGGACAAATAAAATGCAATTGAAGTTTTCCTAAAACAATATAAAAGTTAATAATGTATAGCCATACATGATAAAGAAATGACAAATATTACCTGGAATATACTTGCACCATATGGAGTACGCCAAGCATTTAGGAGGTTGTCTTTACCTGTAGACACAAACCATTTGCCACATGAAGCAAATTTTAAAGAAAGTACACAGCTCTCGTGTAAATGCAATTGATACTTATCAGGCTTGGTACAGTGTAAAACTTCAACATTGCTGCTCTCCATTCTAAAATTGAAAATACCTCATTAAACATCTGACAAATTAAAATATAAAATAATAATAAAAAAAATATTTAAAATCATAAGGAAACCAAATTTTAAGTTAAATTTTTGACACAACAATTTGGTATATATATGTAAATTCATCTGCTTGAGGCAAGATTACTTTCTTATGTAATACTTGTGTGCCAGTAAAAACTAAAAACAATGATAGAAATGCATTCTGCACCATAAAAGAAATAAAACTATGATTTGAATATGATGGCAAGAGTGCAGTTTACAACTAAAAAGCTTTCAACGAATAACTGGCTTATAACAGCATTATGCAAAGGCAGTCATCATCCCAGCGCGTTTCTCAATAGTTGCATTTATACTGTTAATTATTCCATACCTCATTAAGAATCAGCCAGTGCTCAACTACTACCATCTATTATAAACAATTTTCACCATTTTTGTTTTATCAAACATTCATTACTAGCATTTGCCATAATCTTTTATCCCACTTTTAATTTTTCTTGAATACAAGGGAAAGAAATGAAAGCAGTTCCATGAATACTACATTTTTCCTTCACTGAAATTCAGCAAATACACTCTGCATACATATAAGCCTTTAATATTTATAATTTAAGGGGTTACATGGGTTTCATCCGAGTAAAAATGGCGTATTTTCAAGATTTATTTTTCATATAATAAATTAAATATTTAATTCAATTTTTATCTTAAAGGTACATATTTAATAAACAATTTCTGAAATTTTGAAAAAAATAAAAAAATATTAAAAACTCCGCCATTGTGACGTCATTCCCGGCGAGCTCTCCGAAAAAAGGTGCATTTGTGTTGACAGCAGAACTCCTAGCAAGATCATCTGAAGTGGGAAAAAAAAAAAAAAAAAAAAAAATCTGTGTTTTAGTTAAGGCTTCAAACTAGATATTGGACAAAGGGGGAAAAAAAAAAAAAAAAAATGCAAAATTCGATAAAAATTTCGTGGCATTTGGGGGGGAAAAAAAAAGTTGTAATTTAAAAAAAAAAAAAAATCCTTCGTCCAAGTCCTTGTAAATTGTATCTCGAAAGACCTGTTTAAAATTTCATCGAGATCGGTGGAGTAGTTGGAGCTTTGAGAAATCTTGACAACCGACTGTTTATTTTCAAAAACATAGTTTTGAGAAAAACATGTTTAAAGTTTTGCTGCTCAGGATTTTTAGGATTGAACGACTTTCTCCGTTTCTTGGGTCGATCTTTTCTACGAGCACCGTCCACTAATTGAGATCTTGAAACTTTGGGCATTTTTAAATATAATTTACTTTGGACACTTATAACCTCAAAATAAACCTCGTGGTTCAACAAGTGATCACCAAATGAAGTATTTCAACTAGTTGCCCTTAGAAAAAGAGAAAAGTAGCCATAAAGGACAAATGAACAATAGGCAAGCAGCTGCTCTTTTATACCTGCGGCAAGCGGAGCCCAGGTAGCCTTGTGCGTGCCACTTCAAAAGGCTGTATCTCCGAAACTATTACTCGGATCAACTTGAAATTTTTTGACAATATTCGAGAAATGCGTAGATTTTAATAAGGGAAAAAAAAGTTTTTTTTAACCCTTGAAACCCATGTAACCCCTTAAATATAATTCTGTCTATGTAAAAAGACCCTAAATGGCCAATCAGCTTTTTCCAGGTTCAATTTCCAGCAATTTAGCAGTGGCATTAAGTCCCCCGCCAAACATATTGTTGCACCTTTTCTTCTCTTCCAGTCTGACACCAGTTGTTACATTATTTTCTTCTTTCACGTTTGTACGGGGTTCGTAGATTTGAAGTGAATAACGACGACACTTGATGAAGTATCGAAACATTGCCAGTATTGTCAAGACAGCTCCAAAACACGTTTTACAGTCGTCAATGAACTACTATAAACACGCTGACACGATCAGCGACACAGCCTTCAGGCTATCAGGCTGGCAGTGGAGACAGCCTTACTGCAAAGCACCAGAGTACAGCTTTCGGACTCTCCTCAGTCGTTCTCGGAACTCCAACGTACTCTCGAGACTCTCCATGGCTAAAACTCGCGATGCACTCGACGACAAACAGAGCGCAGCTTCCGACTCTTCGGTTTCAGTCGTTCTCGGAGCTCAACACACTCTCTCTACGATGCACTAACCGCAATATAGGAAAAGACTCCTCACGATGCACTCGACGACCCACTCGGCGGTAGACTTCGTTTGACACTCGCTGTCAACTCGATCTGACTATGCAGGCTCTGACACGATAGGCGAGACACATACTAACTGACTGCGGACCAGCAGGGTTTATATAGCTTTTGGCTTGTGTTCGAGAACATTCTGGGCTAAACCGGTAAGAATTCGTTCAAGAAGGTTCTCCATCCGTCCATGGTATATCGCCAATTTTGTCGCCAAATGGGCGATTTCTCGCAAAATGTGGCAACCCTGTCTTCCCTTGCCATTTAATTACAACCTAAAACTGCTTTGTGGGGAAGCCATCTTACCACACCTGTACATTTCGTAACAATATAAATTAAATAAGAGTCACTGTTTCCTTTAGAATGTCCTCCATGAAGATAACTCTTGCACAAAGCAAGTATTCTCAAAACTATTTTTTATTCTTCATGTACTTTGGTTTAATTAACCTAATTTGTTAAGTATGATAACAACTACAAACCACTTACATTATAGACTTTCTCAAGATATAAATACATTAATATAGATAAAAAATAAAGTATTTTGTTTCATTTACACAAACATTTCTCACACAAAAAATTTACATAAAGCTAAAATTAAAGTTTTTTTATGCTGTAATGAGACTGCATCCTAATAAAGAAATAATGTGCATAACATAAATAAGCAATATTTTTTTTATTCCAGCGATTCCAATTCATTTTTTATTTTCTATAATTAGCTATATATAAAATAACTCCATTCGACATTAAAATAAAAACACTTGTAGAGATTTTAGACCACATACACTATATACAGGTCACATAGAATTATTACATTTGGGAGGATTAAAGATAAATTCTTTCAAAGAGACATAGAAAGTCAAGTGTTTTGTATTTCCACAGTTTAATTTCATTTCAAATTATAAAACAAATTTATTGTTTTAAATTACCAAGAATTTTAATGAAAATTGCTTTTACTATTTAATAACAAAAACATACATATAATTTATTCCCAAAGAAATATAATTTTAGAAGATTCAATTTCTCAGTACAGAATTGGAAATATATATACAGAGAGGGAGAAATTAGGATGTAGTCGAAGTTCAATTAAAAAAAGTACGCTAATACTAACAAATTCAAAAGAGATCCTAGTACTAACAAGTTCAGAAGAGCTAAGGTAGGATCCTGATATTCTTACAGCATCATTGGATTATCATCTTGACTTTTTTATATCCCATTATGCACAGGATTTCTATCAATTTCAAGACTTATTTACTACCTAAGTAAACATCCCCAATAAATAAAAGTTCGTGAAACTATGGCACTGAATGCTTTAGAAATATATACAGAAAAGCTATACTCTTATAAATTTATAATTGTTACAATATTCCTTTGTTTGTCTTTTCCTCTACATTTTAAAACATTGAGAACTACAAATTAGTATCATAACTGCATGAAACCCAATTTCTATACATAACAGACACAACATAATTCATTAATTTTTGTTCATATATACTTAATCATTCTTCAAACAATTGATTGCAATTAAAAATATTTCGAACTCACCCAACTGCAAGCCATTCACCAGATGGACAGTATCCTAATGAAAATATCTGAGAAGTAAAATCATGCTGTTGCAATTGACGACCCTGAAATATATGAAATGCTTTTAATTTTTTTTTTTTTTTTTTTTTTTTTTATTTTTATTTTTTTTTCACACTGCAGATAAAAATATGCATAAAAACACAAAGTTAAGTGTCTTAACCTCATTTTTGATAAAATGATATGTATACCATAAAAAATTAACAAAACAAACATAACATTTACTTCAGAATATTACATATAATTTATCCATTAGAGTAATACAGAATCATAATAATAAACTTATATTATTCCCAAAGAAAAATACAGTTATATTCTGACGAATAAATATTTTGAACTTTGATAATGCAAATGATATTAAGTAAACACATGACATATAAACATAAAATATGATTACATATTTAATTACCTCTCTTAAATCCCAAGATCGTACAGTGTTATCCAAACCACCAGTCCATAATTTAGTACCATCACTTGATATATCAATACAACTGGCACCATCTGTATGACCTTGAAATTGCCTACAATTAAATGGGTTTCATATTTAGGAAAGCTGTATTTATAATAAATTTTGAAATAAAAATATTATCTAATTAAAGATATTTCTAGATATTTTTTTATATTTATGATCATCTATATCATTCCGTAATTTCTAAGTGTTTACTAGCCTTTGAAATTTGGCATGAAAAGATGTGCTTGAAACATGCATCACACTGTTACCAGTGTTGTACCTAGGTTTTTCAGCACCTGGGGACAAATAAAGATTTTGTGCTCCCTCTGACTTGCAAAAGTGAAATGGGGAGGAAAAAAAAATTATGGATGTTGCACCCAGAGATGTCCCTCTTTGCCTCATCCTAGCTATGCCACTGATTGCTACGCAAAGCTCATTTAGCCAGAAGATTTAGTATTAAAATAAGGAGAAAATACCAGAAACTTTGCTAAAATCTTTAGCTATTTTGATACAGAAAGCCAGCTCATAAATATAGCAAATGATCTACACTGGTGTGCAAAAATTAAGGACGAAGTCGAAAAATTAGCATATCAGCTGAACGAAGAGGCAGCAGACAGAAAGACCAATCAGGAGATTAAGTAAGGTGATGTACAGTAGCACATTTGCAGATATGCAGGTAGACGTAATGGGGGAGTGTCTAAGTAGTAAAAAGCATGTTGTCGGTGTAAGATCAGTATTTCTGGCAAAGAGATTGCACGCCGTATAGCAGTTAAAATCACACCGAGTTGCTGCCTCAGCGAGAAATGGCGAATAATCAATCTGTTAGACGACATCTGGATGCTTTTACCCGAGGTTGAATAATTGGGAAGTTGGAGGAAGGCTGCAGTGCGACAGGTGTGGCTGCACAGTTCGGAATTGCTCACAGCATCGTTTCACGACTTTGAAGACAATTTCAAACTACAGGAACAGCTATCCGGGGGTTTAGTAGTGGTCGTCCACGAGGAACCACACCAGCAGATGACCGGTATATTGCCATACAGGCCAGAAGAAACAGGCGGCAGACAGCGGGAGAAATCGCTAGACACACGAAACAGGCGACTGGACGACCGATATCGCGTTTTACAGTGGCCAGAAGACTGCACGGTGGTGGTCTGTTTGCATGATGCCCTGTACGGTGTGTACCTCTAACGCCTGCCCATCGGAGAAGGCATTCTCTGTGGTGCCGGGAAAACCAGAATTGGAGAGACAATGAATGGGGACGAGTACTCTTTACAGATGAGAGCAGATTCAGTCTGAGTAGCGTTTCTCATCGCATACTCATCTGGAGAGAGCGAAGCCGCAATCATCCCTCGAACATCATTGAAAGTTCTCGTTTGGGGAGGTATCATGCTTGGTAGTCGTACAGACCTTCACATCTTCGACACAGGTTCAGTCAACGGGACCTGTTATTGTAACGAGATTCTTCTTCCATATGTGCGTCTTTTTAGAGGTGCTATGGGTCCGCAGTTCCTTTTCATGGACGACAATGCACCATGTCGTCGCACAGTAGCTGCCGAACAGCTCTTAGTGAGGATATTGAACGTATGGATTGGCCGGCACGATCTCCGGATCTCAATCACATCGAGCATGTATGGGATTTTCTTGGAAGCTCGTACCTTACCACCAGTAACGATTCCGGAGCTTTGATTGGCGCTGCAAGACGAATGGGCAGCAATGCCTCAACAACTCATTGACACCCTCATTCTCAGCATGGGCAGACGCTGTGAAACCTGCCTAGCAGTCAGGGGAGATCATATCCCCTATTTAAAGACCGGATGTTTCTTGCTGGACACCCATCACAGGGATGTTTCGGCCTTCAGTCGCATGCGCTCCATGCTACTTTTTCAATAAAGCTTCTTTTATCCCTCTGATTTCTCTTTTAGCAAGTGTTGCTTACATTACTCATGTCCTGACGTATTGGGGATCTTACGGTATTAAATGTGTTGAAATACCATAAATACTTCACTAAAAGAATCATTCATTCTGTTCATAAAAGGAATTCATTAAACAAAACTAAATAATTAACAAAAACATATCCAGTGGTATAAGTTACACATCCGCACACATCAAAATTAAACTGAATCTATCAAACCAAGTTGATAACTTCAGAGGTCTCAGCCTCGATTCATGAAAAGAATATCTTTGATTTGATCCCTAGTCAGGATCTAGACAATCACAACACCCACTAAAACAGACTAGAGTGACAGACAGATGGCTCCTCTGTTCATTGCAGCCCACGAGCGGTAAAAGTCGCTGAACACTGGTAGTTCGGTCCGAGGTTCGAATCCCGCAGGCCGGCTGCATGGGCGTTTTCGTGGTTTTCCCCATGTGTATGTGTATACGAGACAGTTTCCCTTAGAAAGTCCTCCATGAAGGCATCCCTCCCCTTAGGCAGATAGCCCTCGAGGCTTTGCTGTAATTAAATAACCTGACCTAACCCCCCTCTCTGTTCACTGCCACACATAGCCTCCCTCCTACGATAAGGAAAGTATAATAGGTGTATCCAATCACTTTGTAAGAAATTTTTCCCTTCTTTACTACATGCCTCTGTGGTGTAATTGAAGCACCTCCAGCTAGCAGTGTGAAATCCAGAATTCAAATTCTGGTGAGGGCATTTCTTATGTTTCATGGAATGTAAGGAATTTTATCCTTCCTTACTATGTGCTTTCATGGTGTAATTGAAAGCACATCTGACTAAGTCAGCAGTTTTTGCAATAAGAGATCCACACTTCAAATCCTGGTGAGAGTGCTGCTTATTTTGCATGTTCCCTATTTAAAAGTAAACCTAATGGTAGCTCTACAAACTGCACCCAAACTAAATATGGTGAATGCTAATTCATCGCCACCTCGATTCGATAACTGAGTCCTCATCCTCCCAGTTACCCTTTAAGTGAGGAAAGAATGTAAGGAATTTTCTACATGTTTAAACTGAAAGCATGTCTAGCTAGCAATGGGAGGTCCAGAGTTCAAATCTTCCCAAAATCTAATGATTCTACAAGTTCACCACACATCATATTCAACGAGTCTTGTGAAAACGTAGGAATTACCCACAGCTCTCCAATGACTCCCACACAATTCAGCTGGGAAGAACAGCTGCTTGCAGCTAAAGGGCTCTGGATTCAATTCCCAGCTGAAGTATTAACAGCGGTATAATAATTTGTAAATATCAAGTTCAAATTGTAACTAAACATTTACTCAAACCATATTAATATTTTCATTGCTTTAATTTTAATAGAAACAGAAGCAGAAACACCACTACTTTTACAATGTGCCAGAATACAGGTTTTAAAATTTTATAAAAATTAGAACCTAACAGTTAGCACAAATTTACCTGACTAGATTTTGATTATGAAGATCCCAGACAGCTATATTTCCATCACTACAGCAGCTAAAGCAAACCTTTGAATCAGGACTAATAGCCAGAGCATAACAAGCAGGGGCACTTGATGTCAGCTCTGATTTTATTCTTGGTGTAGGCTGAAAGTAAAATACATTATAATGCAGTAAATACTGATCAGTAAGTTATTACTTTGCATAAATATCGATAATAATAAACTGCAATTAATTCAGAACTGTTTTTAAGACATAATACACAGATCACATTATTTTGGAACAATACTGAAATTAACAAATAAAAAAAAAAAAAAATTTTGGCTCAATGCTTGCTACTTCCAACTATAGTTTAATATATTATTATAACTATTTTTTAGCATTTTATATTGAGGTTTGAGCAAGTTAATTATTATATGCGATGGTACCAAGTATTTTGGTCAGATATATAATTATTATATTGTATTGATTACAATGCTTATAATTCCCCCCTCCCACCAAAAAAGAAAATTAAATGTACACTTAGCACTACTTTTAAAGTCTAAGAAATAAAATTTATACTTCAATCTATATGCAAGCAATTAAACTGAGACCTTATTATGATCATACAGCAGCACCAAACCAAAATTATTGAAAAATATATGTTTCAAACTGTATTTTCAGAATATACCAAATTACTCAAATGTTACTTACTGCAGCTAAATCCCATATAGATATAGTACTGGCTTCACCACCAACAATAAGAGTTCGACCGTCTGGCAGTAATTTACAGGACCTGATATAATTATCCCTTTGCTGAAAATAAAGAAACAAATCTTAAATATCACCAAAAGTGTAATCACTAAAAATCACATTATCACCAAAGAACATAGAATAGCAATAAACATGCCCTTAGTGGGTACAAAACATACCAGGCAATCTAGCTGAGAAACTGGACTTTTGTTTACGGATTGGCTGATATCCCAAACTTTTACACAACCCTAAAATTAAAACCTTTAGTTAAAAGCTTGTCTAAACAGTATTAATTTAAAAAATTCATTTTTCATACTTCAACTAATTATATTTGCAGTAACCACACAAATAAAAAGCATTTCAAACACTGAACATCTGACAAAAAAATACAGTTATGGAAAAAATACTGGAAATCAGGCTTTTCTTAAATTTTCATAAAAAATATTTTAACTCACACGTATAATAAAAACTGAGTTAAAAGTACTCATCTTGGCAGTAAAACAATCACTATGATGTAATTTAAAAATGATATTTACATGTACTGTTTCAAGAAATGGTAACTTATTTATGACATCCTTCCTTAAGAGCAATTATTAATACTTAGAAAAGCTTAGCAAACTTATATTTAAAATATATACTTTTTAAGATATCAGATGTGAGACAACTACATACTTTGCCACCAGTGTAGACATATTTTGTAGGATTTGAAATAGTTACAGCACAAACAACTTCACCATGGTTAAGTGTGTTGATTTGCCTTGCATGCCTTGGAATTCCAGAGGCCACAAGAGCATCTGGAGGGAAAGGAACAGGCTGCATTTGACCATCTGCACTTACATGAAAGGAGTAAGCTCTGAAAAGATAACAAATCAGAACATTTGATTAGAAACCGTTAAAAAAATAATATCAAAAAGTCATAATGTTGATTTTCAGAGTGAATATAAGATTCTGATAGAAGCAGAAGATTAGAAATCTTTAGAAAAAAAGAAATTATAAATAGAATAGAAAAAAAAAAAAAAAAAAAAAATTAGAATTTAGAAGTTAGAAATCTTTTGCTATAAGAGACAAAAATAATAATACAAATTTTTCTGAAACTTTTATTTATTCTAAATTACAATGTTCTTAATAATTTGCCAAAGAAAGTGTTAATATATGATTCTGTAACATACAATCATACATAATTATTTTTTCAGAGGATTATATTCAAATTCCTATTATTCACAAAAGCTTTGCTCAGCATTTTAAAGAATTACATGTTTTTTACCACAAGCCCAAAATCTAGCACATCAAATAATTAACTACCAAAACACTTTTGAAGAAACAAGTAAGAGACTTATGCTAACTACTGGCAAATTTCTATTAATGTAAATGATTCCTAAGCAATAAATTATTATTTGTTCTTCAGGCAATAAGTACTTAAGTACAACACCTTGTTTTCATAAATAAGAATGAGGAAATCTTTACCTCATTTACTGGTAATTTATTTAAGTATTTAAAAATTGAAGAGCTGTAATGTAGCAAACTTTAAACTTGGGGTACTAAGGAAAAGAAATCTTAAAGGAATGAGCAGAAAATTTTAATTTTACACTTAAAAAGCAAACCTGTTTGTGCATCAAGAGATGAGTGTAGCTGTGAAGTATTCCATAATTTTAAATGCCACTCATTTTTGTTAAAACAGCTCAAAAACTAGTAAATTAAAGAAACTCAGGCTTAAATTCATATAAAGAAATGGATCTTTATACAAATAAAACTAAAAATTATTTTCTGAAGTAAAAATCTAAACATTCATTTATTTCCATTCCATGTCTTAGTTGTGTAACTGCTTCTAAAAATGTTATTTATTTTTATGAAAATGCTAGCTTTAAATAGTATCTTAAAATTTAATTTAATTATAAAGTGTTTTTAACACTTTCCCAACTGGAGATACTGAGTGCACTTTATTAACCACTTCGAGGCCGTTGCCATCTTCCCCTTTTTCAATCGTCATCACCGCAGAAGGCTAATTTCTCCTGCAGCTGTCGTTGTTATAGTTACGAGACTAATCGGGAGGCGAAAATGACCTTGAAATTTCTATTTTAAAGTAACAACAGACTACAACGCATTTACGTTTAAGCAAAATTTCACCGTCCCGAATATTTTAATCTTGATTCCAAAAAACTTGCGTGTGAATTATTGCACCAGTTTCTTGTAAAAAATACGTTAATAATTACTTAAAAAAAAAAAAAAAAAAAAAAGAAAAAAAAAAGAAAAAAAGAAAAAAAAAAAAAAAACAGAGACTTGTCCATTATCACTCTATACCCGTTTTGTCGCCAACCTCCCGCGAATATACGCCAACTTCTGTAGCCAATCGAAAGAAAACGGCACAAATGTTCTGAAGATTCTCTGTAAAATCGACAATTGAGCCGTTTCACTTTTTGGAATGTTAAGAAGCAGTTTAAACCGACAAACTAATACTTAATGAGAAAAAGTGCATGAACTCCAAACGTCAGTCAGAATACAATCGGAATTCGATAAGCCGAAAGCTAAGGCTGCAGGAAAAAATCCGAATAGTCAAAAATTCGATTTACGAATTCCGAGCATCAGATATTTTACTATATAGACATGTAGAATTTATGCGCATTTATATTAATGTTGCTATTTTAATTTAATATACGCCATGCGCGAAGATTTAAAGGCGCACGGGTAAAATATGTAAGAACATGATCAAACTAAGTACTTTTTTACACGGGTATAAACAAAGAATAAATCAACGTCACTTGATAAATAAATAAAAATTAAAAAAAATCAATTCGTAAAATATTACGATGCTTCTCCATAATAATATATGCAGCAAAGTAATTAACTTCTTTAAAAGCGCAATAACATAAAATTTCATCTACACTCTGGAAACAGATTACACTTACAGGAATAAAAAGTAATCTGCTGAATTAAAGTCAAGTTGTTAAAAGAAAAAATGAATCCACAGTCTAGATATATAGCTGAAACGAAATAACAAAGGAAAAAAAAAAAAAAAAAAAAAAAAAAATCACCAACAACAACGCCGCCTTTACTTGGAATAATTGCTAACATACACAGAGACATCTGTAAAACAATTTCGGAAAGTATTTTTAACACGCTCCCCTTTAGAATACAACTAAAAGCAGAAACCGCGGGAAGAAGAACAAAGGATGGTTGAATCGCTTCTTCACGAACGCGCTGCTAAGTTTGCTTACCGTTTGCCGCCGCTTCGATTATAAACTAATTGCCGCAGCCAGCCAGGAATAAAAGCAAAGGGAAGCCTTGCTAAGTGAATTAATTGAAAATGCTAATCCTCGTTAAGGGCATTAGAGGGAGGAGGGCACTTTTAACGCCTCCGGGTGCTTAGAAAACGTTCTATCAGAATTCTTTCCCCGTCAGGAACTCTTAATCAGACGGTGCAGATAGGCAGAAGTTCATTAAAAGCGGCTCATTTGAGCGATGATACAAAAGAAAGTTGCATCTCATGCGGTATTCCGGTTAACCGATCCGCAAAATTTCGGGATCTCCTCCGTCACTAATGCCTGCGGCGATTCGTCGAGGGAAACTCTTTTTAAAAGTCAAAATAAACGCTAGTTCATAGTAGTGTTTCGCTCAAACAGTTTTCGATTAAACAAATGGCGAGAATTAGGAATAAGATCGCGCCATCGTTCTTCTTACTCGTCACCGCTATCTTGTTTATTTGTTACAATGTGAAAGCGGATGAGCCTTTATCTCTGAACAGTACAAAATTTTCTGTTGAGTGAATGGAACAAAAGCGATATTTACAAAATTGCAGAAGTCTGAAGAATCTGTGAGCTCTTTAACAATATATATATATAGAGAGAGAGAGAGAGAAGAGAAGAACGTTAATTTGAAATTCAAAATTCAATCTTACATTGATCATTCTTTTAACTTAAATTGTCCTAAATTCATTCAAAAGATTTTTTTCAATTCTTAAAATTGAAATTTTGGAAGATTTCCACAGTCACCCAAATCCACCCACTTTAGTTAATAATTTTAATGCCAATACAGTTTTTTCCCCAAACATTTGAAGGCCTTATCAGAATTTATGGTACTCTGGTTTCCATTTTGTCAATAGATGACACTACATTTGTTCTTTCTTTAAATTATATATATTTTATCTATGGCTTAGAAGATCTTTGATTCTTTAAAAAAGAAATCCCATACCATGGGCCAATCAAAATACCAGATCTACATACCATACAGTTGATCCTAAAAATACCAAACTGAATTTTGCTAATTTTAATTCTTGAACAAAAAAAACAAAACTGAAACTCTGGATCAACAATATTATAACTCAATCTTTCATGCACTAAAATTATGCATAAATAATGTAGCAGATGCAGAAATCAATATACACTAATACATATATTTTAACTAAATTTCAATGATGAATGATGCTGAATGCATTCTTTATGGAAGCTGAAAACAACTATTAAATTTAAAAATTACAGTTTTGAGAACGTTAATTATTTATTTCCAAATAAAAATATTTACAACAAAATCATATTAATATTTTAAAAAGATAAAAAATTATTTTTTCAATATCAAACAAAAAATAAGAATGTATGGCATATATTATAATCATAAATTTAATGATTGTTTTCATTAAAATATATCAAACCAATGAATTATCTTGTGTTAGAAATCTTTTAGAAAAGTAATATTTTTCCCTTGTGCATGATTAAAATACAAATTAGCAGACTAACTGATTAATACTAATAAATATTTTAAAATGTACACATGATACTTTTCTAGTCCCTTTTAATGGCAAAATCATGCATGATGAAATTTTGAAATTTGCAACATATGCACTGGCAGCAGAATTTGTAGGGCAGCAAAAAGTCTGATACCAACCCTGATCATATGTAGCATTGCTGGTATGTAGCATATTGAATACCTATCCACTTTGGACATACCTTTATATATCTTCAGTATCATTTAAAATACCTCATGATATTTCAAAGTTTACACAAAATTCTTTGCAACGTTTTTCCATATTCATTTTGATCTTAAAGAATTTGGAAAGATTACTCTTTTAAATATTCAATTTTTCTATGGTAAACGATTTTGGAAAATGAAATAAATATCATTATCACAATAAATACATAAAATTTAAAATTTTAGTCACTTTCCTAAAAGGAAAAACTAATTCTAAAATTAATATACAAACAAGAGATATCTAAACCTTTTTTGATTCCAAAATTAATAAATTAATAGGCACAATATTTTATGAATAAAAATGGATTTGGAAAGATATGATAGTTTAAATATATATATATATAATGCGATATTTGCAAACAATACAGTGATGTTGCAGCTTTAACCAGTTCATAAGAATTCTTCTTCCCAACTTTAAATATATTATGTGTCTCTTTAACTAGTCAGATGTAAAAGTTGATTATTCTGCTATGGCAGACTACAAAAGAGTTATCTATCTCAGCAGGTTTTAATTGAATGTATCCTGGGTAAAAATGATTAAATCCTGGGTAAAAATGATTAAATGTATCCTGGGTAAATGATTAAATGTTTCCAGGAGATAGAATTTGAAGCTTCTGTTCCTTCAGTTCTGTCAGCACTGACCTCTCAAGAGAACTTTTCAATTGAAGAATTTTAAATGTTCCATTCTGCAGAGCTAGTACAACCACAAATACTCAAGCCTCATTAGCAATACTCAACTGTCATATTTAAAATATGTTGTATCAATGACTACTTGCTTACCAGATTTTTACTATAAAATTTAATACTGTAGAAAACTTACGGCTTTCCTCCTGAAATGGCACCAAATGCTGGAGCTCGCATTGAAGGATGAGGATCATAACCAACCTGAAAACAAAAATACGTAACCTCAGGGGATGATTAGAATTATACAGTAGAAATAACTCATAAAGCAAAATGAAAGGAGAAATGTTTCCAAATGAATTTTTTTTAAGATATTCGCTAAAGCTCAATCTGTATTTTGATGAGCAGGTTACAAAGAACAATTAACAGATAGGCAGATTTATAAATTAAATTACCTAAACAAATCTACATTAAAATTATATGAGCTAAAAACTTTCCTAAAAAGAGTGTTTAAGTTCACATTTTTCAACTTTAATAGAAACTGAATGAATGAAGATCAATAGTTTTAATAATGTTGAATGATAACACTCATTAACACTTTCTTTTCTTGGTCAGATTTTTTTTTTCCAAATTTCTGACACAAAAAAGGACTTTTTTAAATTGCTGAAAATTAATACATGTTCTATCCTAAATTCAAAAATGGAAAATACTTTTTGACAGTAAGTAGTTTTTAATGGACCTATAGGTGGTCAAATATGTGATAGCCCATCCACTGATCACCAGTTTTCCCTGCAATGCACCCAGAGTTTCAGGTTTTAATTTTTAAAAAAAATATATGTGATACTATATTTATTAACTCTATTGTTTGATGTGCTTAATAGAAATACCTACATAAAAATAATTATTAAAATTATGTAAAAAATGCTTTAGATTTCCAGCCTTACTGTTACAAAATAGCTTTACAACCTGCCTTGGACATCAGAGCATAAAATCAACATTTATCACAAAACCAAAATCATTCATTTAAGTAAAAAAAAAAAAATACTTAGTTTATCAAAAAATTGGCTATGAATATCAAAAACATTTTGAATGCTTTCTTTTTTAAATAATTATTATTGAAATTCTAACAGATATTAAGGTAAGAAATCTCACTATGAAAACTGTGAGGAAACTAGGACTAGTAATGCTATCTCTTAGCACTAATCAGAAATACAAAAATAATCATGGAATTTAAAGCGATGTATGAATAGTGATGAACTCAATTTCAATGATGGAATTTTTCACTTTGTCATGGCATGCGATGCCGAACAAGAAGGGGATAAACACAAAATTATCCTAATTCCTTAAGACTTTATAATAGAAACTAATAAACCTATTAATGTGTACTGCCCCTTGGAAACTACACATTAATAGAACACACTCTGTAAAGCTTTCTTTTTTCTCTCACTCATTGTAGAAGGTAAGATCTTAGTTGACTTGAAAAACTATTTACTTAAAGAATAACTAACTGTAAATTAAAATACTCTGAAGTTTCAATTTAAAAAGCACCAAAATTTTAATATTAAAAGGCAGTGATATTATCTGTATAGTATCAACATAAATTAAAACACCTAAAGATTAAACCTCATAAGAGATTCTTCTATATATTACAAGAAATGTATTAATATTCAGTGGAGCCCAATTTTATTACTATAATTATTAATGAAGGAAAACTGATTTCTATTGAATTCATCATCAAAATTGAATTTTGTTATTAACAGACCCTCAAAAAAGATAAGCTATAAAAATGAGTATGCTGAGCAGGGCTTAATTTCTAAAATTAGAGGCGCTGAAGCACTGTGGTAGACTGTCAGGAAAGAGGAATAACAATAAATAAATAAGTAAAATGACTAACAAATCATCAATAATTTAAAAAAATTAAATAATTAATGATTAAACTAATTAAAATTTAATAAGTGATTTTTAATATAATTTTATTGCTAAAAATAAAATTTGAGTTCAAATTTCTACTGAAATTGCTGTTCAGTTCCATAAAAGAAGTGCCGAAGCCTTCTTATTTAGAGCTGCAATGCACTCTGTCTAGAATCATAATTTATCCCAGAAACTAAAAAGTGCCTGAGCCTGGCTCCAGCACAATTTAACACTTTACCGACTGCTAACGGTTCAACAGCATACGAACGATCACTCAGCCGCAGATTCTCCGTCCTGAATAACTGTCAGAAAAATCTGATAAATCATCCAAAAAAACCTCTCCAGTACCTTTTTTTTTTTGGCTCATCGTGAACGTGAAATTTTTTAAAAAAAGATGTGAAAATGTGGGAGTTTACAAAGCAACGCACTTAACACAAGTGACCAATGTACCTCAATACTAATAATAAAATGCAGATGATATAGCAAATGGCAATTGTTAATCACCATGGCTACCGATTGATAGGTTATTTTTAGGTAGACCTAAGGAAAAAAAAACGATTAATAGGCTATCAGTCGTTAGGTGTTGGCGAAAAAAAGCCAATTAATAGGCGACTGGTCGGTGAAGTCTTAAGCTCTGATGCTCAGTAATTAAAAAGGGGCATTATACTTTAAATAATGAACTATTAAAAGCAAAGTTTTAAATGAACTAATTAAAGCAAAAACACAATGAACTCTTTATTTTTAAAATAAATAATTAAAAACAAAAAAAAAGGGGATAGCAGCTGCACAATATATTATTCAGGTCCCCTTGAATGATGTTACATCTAAGCAAGTTGAAAATTATACAAAATTGTAATACTTCTAAAAAGAAAAGATCTACAGCAGAAAAAAAAAAAAAAAAAAAAAAAAAAAAAAAAAAAAAAAAAAAAAAAAAAAAAAAAAAAACAAAAAAAAAAAAAAAAAAAAAAAAAAAAAAAAAAAAAAAAAAAAAAAAAAAAAACTGCCAAGGTAAAATATCAAAGAGACTTACCAGAGTACGTGAATAGTTATTAAGAGCTGGAGACATATTGCTGTGGAGGACTCCCTGAGAGAATGCTGCACTCGAACTCAGATCAGCTGGAAGGCCAGGGTGAGCTCCTGCAGGTCCATGCAGAGGATAAGGATAAGTAGGTCCTGAAAATATATTCCCTGACATCATCAATATTAAAATGAAACCTCGACAGGATTTCTATCCTCAAAATGCAAAAAGGATTATTCAGAAGATACTTACCCAAAGGAGGGGCTTTAGGAAGAGATTTCATACCACTGGAACCAGGTGTACTACCACCCGAACTAGTAGGAGTAACAGACTTTGGAACTGGTGTAGTTGACTTTTCGTTCTGAAAGTAATTAAATGAGTTCAATTACAAAGTATTTTTAATACATTTAGTATCTATTATAAAAGATTTTTTCATTATATAATATATGAAATGCTCTATCACAATTTAAATGCTTACATCTTTATGCTTAGAAGAAGGAGTACTAGCATTGGACGAGATACTACTATGTGGACTATGAGAGCCATGTTCTTTTTTAACTACTTTGTCGGTGCCATTTTCCCGTGGACTTGGAGCACCATTAGGAGGCCCCACAGAGTCCTAGAAATAAAAACCGTAACATTATTTCTCCTAGCAAGACCTGCAATTAATGCATATTTGATACATTTAACAAGAAACAGCTATAATTTTTCTTACAACTTTCTTACTTACTGCAATTTAACATAATACTTAACATTACAAGGGAAAACTTAGTGGTTTAATTAAATCAATATGCTGAAAAAATATATTCAAACTAAATTAATCACTACTTAACTGCTATCTACTATTAAACACCAACTTTTTAGTAATAACAGCATGATATGCATCTTATATATATATATATATCTATTCTCTCATTACAAAAAAAATTATTACAAATTATAAATTTTTAAATTATATAACCTTGATATGGAATAAATATTTTTTATTTAATAATTTAACCCTTAATTAGTGAAATATGACAGCTAGGCTGAGATTTATTACACCTATTTTAGTAACTGATAGTTTCAGAATGTTAACAATCATATTTGCACATTCTCAGAATGAAAATCAACAGTACTTTCATTCTCACTACCAATGAAATCTGTTTACATTTCTTATGTTTTTCAATTTTATTTAATAACTTAAAACTCATTCTGGTTAGATACATCTGAAATTAATTTTAATGAGATGCATCTTAGTAAAATTACAAAGTAAATTATCACACATTTACTAGTATTATATTACACAATTAATATATTTATATGAAAAATTCAAAAATTTTTTATGCTGTTAACACAGATCCTATTTCACACATTGCATTATTAATTGTATGCAGCTAAACAGCATTTTTTATTGAATCAGAAATATTTATATTTTTAATTAATACAGCTTTGTTCCAAAAAACATTTTTTTAGTGCAAACAAGCTTTACTTTTCTCAGTGTGAATATTATACTTTAAAAGCCTTAGCAACAACTTTCTTAAAGAAAAAACATGTTTGCATACACAGCAAATATATTCTTTCATTTTTCAAAGAAAAAATTATGTTTTTTAAAGAAAAATCAAGTCTGTGCCTTTATTGATTTCAGAAAATAATTAAAAAAAGGTGTTCATAATATTTATAAGAAATGGGAGTTTTAATTGGTAGGAAAATAATTTACCTCATTTGCTACATCTACAACTAATTCCTGATCACTTTTTTCGCCATCACTGTCCTGGAAAGAAAATGAAAATTTTGTCAAATATATTTTTTTTCCCTGTAGAAAATGAAACAGCACTTCTTTCTCTTAATTACTATGAAAACACTTTTCAAATCAAAACAGTCTACATAAGCCTAAGAACTAATTAAATTCACACTCAAGAACTTTTTTCCTCTCTCCTCACCAAATAAGAATACAAACTGAACTTCTTGTAATGATAAATTTGACAAAGTGATGCACAATGGCATAGTTTAAAAAAAAAAAAAAAAAAAAAAAAAAAAAAAAAAAAAAAAAAAAAAAAAAAGAGACAAAAAGTATTTAGTCAGTGATTATGCACAGCCAGTCATAAAGAATATCTTGTCAATTCTAACAACAATGAAAAAGTCTGCTAATTCCACTAAATTGGATGCTTTTTTAATTACCTGAGAAAATGTAGAAATCCCTCCTTAATTTATCCTAACAAAGATACTTTTCCACATCCTAATTACTTTTAGGGAACATTTAAGGACATAGACAAACAATGGGAACATCTGGCAGAAGCTAATCAAACAAACTGCGGACAATGCTGCAATTACGATGCTTCTTTAACGTATGCTGAAATGGATAATAATTAAATTATCAAATGAAATGTTTTATTGGATGTTTTTTCTGTACATAATTAAGCTCCTTAATGAAGATTTTAATTAGATACTTTTTTGCTTCCCTCCAGATGAAATGCTAGGAAAAAAGTACAGCAAAAACAAGAAATGAAAAATGCAAATAAACTTCCTCACCTCTTTCCTGGAAACATAATTAAAATGGAAAAAGTATGAAAAGAAAGTTAAGACTACACCACTAATTCATGGCACACATAGTAAAGTGTAACAGAAAAATGAGAAGCGTCTTTTGTAGCCTTATTAAAAAATATTAATTACTATTTCAATTTAATCAATTAAGACAATGAATTTGTTTCTCTTAGGGTTTAATTTACTGAACAATAATTGAAGTTTTTTAATGCTGGATTTATTATAAATTTCGTATTGGGAGTTTTTCAAGAGAAAAAAAGGTGCTGAGAATGAAATGCTGATTGAATTTTTTTTTAAATTTTATTTAAGAAATCAAATATGATTATACATTACTCATTAAAATCTAAAAGACTCAATATTTGCTTCGAATTAGTTTTTTTAGTTGTGTTACAATTGTTCCTTCAAATTCTATTCATTGCATAGGTATTCATACTGTTGTTTTTATGTTAAGTAACACATCATTCAGAAGACTATTATTAATCACATATAACATTTACATTTTGCTTTCTTATGAATAAGCTATACATTTTCTTAAAATGTTTCAAAAATATTATTTTGTTGCACATTATTTTCAACTTTTTTATCTTTTAATGCAAAGAGAAGATTTAGCATCACAGTGCATAAAGGTAATGAAGAATGACAGATCTGGAAAAACAAAATTTATGCTTCATAATCAGAAAACTAAAGAACTAAATATATTTCTTAATTTAAATTAATGAGAAATAATTTCACATAATTTTATCTCCTCAATTTTAATTTTAATTGCATTAATTTAATATTCCATGTAGGAACTAAAGTTTACCCAATCTACATCCATTCGCAAATTATATCCAACAAGGAAATAGATCTTGACCAATTTAATATAACAGAATAATTGCATTTATAACTATAATCACTCTCCAGCCTACTTGCACATCCATAGTGCAAGCTATATCATTTACACATAAAAAAAAAAGATCATTCTATAATCTCTTCTAAACTACTCTGGATCAAAAAAGTAATAATTTAGAAAAGATTTCAGAACAAATGATTTATACTGGCTATATGTCTATGCTAGTTTCCACCAAGTACTACCAATCCAATGCATATAATTTGACAGTCTCGTACTCTTCTTCCCCAACTATCATCCTCTCATTCGGGCTTTTAAATCAATGGATTATTAATGCCCCATTCTGCAAAGGCATTACAGTCACAAATAAGATGAGAAGAGCAATTTTCCCAGACTTCATTTATTAAGGAATTGGAGGCAACATTACAACTTGGTCGTTTGGGGGGGGGACAGATTAAAAATATATTATTTTAAAACTGATAAACAATTTAAAATGACTCAGGTGTTGTAATGGAGAAAAGCAACATACTTCTTAGTAAATATGTGGCAAACACACATATAAAAACATTTCCCAGGCCATGCCAATCTGGTCTTACTCTGCTGGCAAAAGTTCAGAGACTGCAAGCTTCCTGACAGACTGGATAATAAGATAAAAAAGTTGGATATTATAAAAAGATTCAAGATCTCTAAAGGCCATCTCAACTGAAACTCAAATTAGCAAACCTAGAACAAGATTTAATATAATATAAAAGTCTGTCTGGGGACAAATGATGCAGGTGTCAAAACTCTTAAAGCATAATGAGGGCCTATAATTTAAAATAACACACCAAATAATAATTATAATTCATTAATAACGATTGTTTTTTGACTTTTCCAATAGTTAGAATGGGGACTACAGATATTTCTCAGAATTAGAACTATTTCAATACAACCAAAGGTTTTGGGGGTTACATATTTTATATTCCAAATTTTCTTACTTTAGACAGTATTACATGCAAAATATTATAGAAGCATTATTATTTTTTTTTAATTGCAGCAGTTTACTTCTAGAAGCAACATGTCACTGAAAGATGACTTCCACAGTTACCTCCATATTAAGACATTCCTAAAATATATAGATACACTTTCCCAACTAAGTGCTACACCATCAAAACAAAAGATATGTAGTTCAGATGAACTGCGATAAACCAAAAAAACATTTTACGAGTCAGATTAGCTATTCTTAATTTACACAGCACACAAAAAAATTACAAGAGGTTAAAAAAAGAATTTTTTTTAAGGAATAAATAAGATTTATCAGAATAAAATCAAAGTGAATGATGATTACTTATATTAGTAAATAAGATTATAAAGATTAAGATTTTTTATGTAAACTGAACTAATTTTTTTTTTTTTTTTTTTAAATATAGTAGCACTTTTGATTTAATACTCACAAGAGCTAAATACTTACCATAAGCTTTTCTTCCTTCTTCCTTTTTTTCAGGTCATGATCTACATCTGGAGACCGTGTTCTAAACTTTTCTCTGTCATTTGGAGATATGGAATTTCGCTGAAAGGAGAAGAAAACCATTTTATTAGCATCCCAACACTCTGAATGAATTTTGAATTTTATTAAATATATTAACAAACAGCAAAATTTAAAAAAATTCACAGCTGGATAGTTTTAAAAAGTTCTTTACTATGATGAAACTCTTACATGTGCATATGAAACTGCAAAGACAACACATACTTCAAAGCAATCGCGAAGTTCCAGATGACCTTGAAGGCTCATAAGTTCAGTACCATTCTCTCAGCAAAATGCCACGGAAATTTATTCTTAATGCATAAATAGAATTTAAATACCAAAATCATTTAAAATAACAGCCCTTAATTGAAAAATCAATTTTTAAATGTGTTAAATAATCTCAACTAAGACATCAACATCACATTCAGTCACAGTTATGACAAGGACAAGTCATTGTACTTTTCTCAGCTCAGTAATATACACATATCAAATTTCCCACAAACATTTTTAACTACTTATACAAAAAATCTCTAGTATCATTTTTCTGGCAAATGCTAGCAAAGGGAAAATATATAAAAGAAAACAACTCAGAAAGTTGAAGTCTCCCCATTGACTACATATAAGCAGAAACGCAAAGTGATGTTGAGCCAACTGAAGATTTATCTTTCACTCAGTTCCCAAAATGTGCACACACTTGAAATGAAAGGAGGAGTGAGAAAAAGAGAGCTTCAAAACTTTGTGGAGTGTCAGACTTACTGGGAAAGTTCACAATATTTATTCAACACTGGCTCTAGCACAAGAATGCTTTTCATTTCTCTCTCTAGCTCAGAACTTTCCTTTGGAAAAAATTGAAATATGCAAGAAATCTCATATTTTCCTGCTTTCCAATCTCATAGGAAGATATGAAGAATTAAGACTTTATAAAAATGCTTACACATGTCATCTGTGATATGACTCAGTTCTATTTACCTGAAAAATGCTCTTCAAAGAAAGCAAGAGTTCTCATATCAAGAACTGAAGAATCTCAGATGGAGTATTAATTTTCTGCTTAAATAATTAATATTAATCTTCTGTTTTTGTTTTCATGGACTGTAAAAATAATTTCAGAAATGAAAAACAAGCATGCCAAAATACCATTTGAATACTACAGCTTCAAATAAAATGATAAAGATTTATTTTCCTAACCATTATTTTCAAATTAACTTTAGTTACCTTATATTGACTGAGACTGTGTGGCTCATACTTTGCCAAGTTGGAAAACCATAAATTTACTTTTAAAGCAAAATCTGAAATTCACTCTGTGAAAATCAAATTAAAATTAATATTAATAAATTACAATTTACTTTCTTATGTTTTATTTTTATAATCATGAAATCCTATTCCATGTTTCCAATGATTACAATTAATTTTAAGGACACTGTAAACAACAAACAATGCCTCTCATAATTTACAAATAATTTGTTCGAATTTGCAGTTAGAATCTTGCAAATTTTTATATTTCCTGTTCTAACTCTCTAGTAAGAAGAAAAATACACTTATCGTAGAAGTGGAAAAATTCTGTGCATTCTTACTTGAAAGGTTCTTAATTGCAAATTGTTACAATCAGCTCACACATGCCTTTTACTAACTGATGTAACATAACTATTTGACCTTAACCATATTACTTGATCAAACCCCATTTAGCGGCAAAGAAACCAACTAAAGTCTGTTGACCTCTAGCTAGGCTATCACAGTGGAGACAGCTTCACGGCAAAGCACTAGAGTACAGCTCTCGACTCTGCTTGGTCGTTCTCGGAATTCCATGTGCTCTCAAGACTCTCCATACTACAACTCGCGATGCACTCGACGATACACAAGAGTATAGCTCTCGACTCAGCACAGTCTAAAACAAAACTCGGCGATGCACTAAAAGACTCTCGATGCACTCAACGACCAACTCGACGCTAGACTTCGAGACACTCGCTCAATGACTGACTACCAGTAGGATTTAAATAGCATTCGGCTGGTGTTCGAGAACATTCTGGGCTAAACCGGTAAGAATTCATTCCAGAAGGTTCTCCATCCGCCCCATGGCATGTTGCCAAATAGGTGATTTCTCACCAAATGTGGCAACCATGCCTTACCTTGCCATTTTATGGCAACCCTAAAACTGCTTTGCAAGGAAGCCATCTTACCGCTCCTGTACATTTTGTAACAATATTGTAAATCTTCAGAAAAAGTGTTACATCTATGCCAATAATAAATTTTATTATCAAATTTAACTATGCACATTAAAATTTTAAACTGGACCCAGTGAATGGAGAAGACTTTTGAAGAAGGCCAGGGCCCACTCAGGGGGGGGAGAGGGGAATCGAAGAAGAAGTTGTTTATCAAATTAAAAATAAATCAATTCAAGTTTTCACTATTTTGGTACCCTAAATTACTTGATTAAATACTAGTGAACTAATGAACTAAGTTTCTTATGCAAAATTAGCTAAAGACTTTCTTCTGAAAAATTTTCGAATTTCTTCCCGTTTTCTTAGAACAATTTAACATTACAATTACCAAATAATTATGTTTAAGCAAGAAAAGAAATTTCAATAAATAAAAATAGGAGTTAATCATATGAAAGCGGTTATTTTGTTTTCTTCCAACAACGATCTGTGCTTCCAAAACTGAGGAATTTAGTGCCAATGACGACGAATGCTATATGGCTTGATATTTACAGAAAATTAAGCTCTATTAAATCGTCAATGCATAACAACATGAAGGTCAAACACATTTAAATGCAACACCTCACTTTGTTCTCAATAGCACTCTCCAAATGAAACTCCAAAATAAACATATTAAGAACAGAAGAACAACTAAAATATGCGAAAAATTTTCATTCGGTTTACTCTGATGTAAGTGCCCGTACTCTGCCTACCGCATGAAAATGCACAGGATCTATGGGGAAGAGCGAGGTGACAGGAGAAAGATGGAAGTCTCCATTTTTCTCTCCCTTTTCGTCATTAATCTCCGGAGACTCCCCGGCAACACTCTAGGGACTTCATTAATGCCTAAGCACCCACAGACTCCAATATTCCGTTTCTTGTCACTAGCCCAATGGTAAAGCGATTTAAGAGCAGCTCTTGCCTTTTCAAGCTAATGAGATTTTCCATGCATTTCTCGCGCATTAAAAGCATAAGATAAAACTGTAAGAAAATAATGCGTTTAGGCAGCCACATGACATGCAGATTTACTTTATAAATTTAGATAATAATCAATACAATTAAGTACGCTGTTACTAAACGTAAAAGCAAATGGTTAGATTTTTATGAAAATCCTTGCACTTAGTACGAAAGTACTTAAATTACCAAAGGGTATTTTATTCTATGCAAAGTAATTTTTTTCAGTATATCATTCGTTAATTTCTGACACAATTTAAAACAAACCAAAAAATTATTTGTAGTTCACTCAATTAAAAAATATAAACAAAATTTATTAACAATCACTCAGATGTCAAACATCACAATATTGATTCTTCAAATGAGATGGGATGTAGGAAATATGTACGACTCGCAGCAGAAAATTCTTCTGCGAATTTCCCAATATTAGATTACGATGAATTCAAAAGCTAAACATTAAAATAGAATAATCTACCATTTTCGAATTTCCCAATTCCGTTACTCTTTAAATCCTGTTTAACTTCAAAATGCAACATTCACGGAGTAAACGAAAAGACAGCACACTTCGCATAGCAGAATTTTATTTCCGGGACGGTCATATATAATCCCCAATCCTTATTTAATAATATTCCATTCAGTATTCCCCTCCACTCAAAATCCAGACCGGATCAATCCTTTTGCTAAAGAGAAACCAAATCCCAGATAGGCACCCTCCCAGGACGCCGGTTATAGGAAAGCAGCAGCAGCATCATAATTTTGTGTCCACTCCTAATTTGCATTGAGGAAGAGAAGCTCATGGTCCTCAAAGAGAAAGACCAACAGGGTCGCTGTTAAGGGGGAAGCGTTGTAGTGATGATCCATCCAAACTGGAGGGGGTTGAGTGGTACGCAGAATGTGCACCAGTGCATGCCTAAAGCGATTAGGTGGCTTCGGTGGGGTGGCCGGTGTGTGACAGCTGCCTGCCTTCCTTTTATCCGTTAGACAAACTCCCCCAGGCTATTATTCGATACCGGTCCATACAATGCGGGAACAAGATTCGAAGATGCCTTTCAAATGATGTGATAGGGGATGCGCTTTAATTGAAGAAATACAGAAACCAAGATAGACCAACCTGCAAGACACTGATGTAAAATATTATTTAGTTCCAAAGCCTATATATTTTGCTTTTAAAAAAAAATCACAAGATGGAAACACCTGCTTAAGGTATGGTTTTACTCTGTATTATCCGACGGCCTAAGAGTCGTAAATATTTCAAAATTTAATAAGTAAAGATTATTCGACTTGACTAACCTCATTTACCTTTCATGAAAGGAAAATTCAGCAAATGAAATGTTTAATTTTTCCTATAATCAGTTACTACTATGAGAACACAGATAACATTAACCCGAGTTTTAAAGATTAAATCTTATTTAAAGTTAAGAACCAATGTAGTTTTCCTTTTAATTAAACTAATTTTGAGAATTCATTTACCCCCCCCCAAAAAAAATATAAATAAATACAGAATTAGTTCCTATATGTTGAAATAACAGATAATATTTTTAATAGTCTCGAGCAAATTCGTTGCGCTAATATACGGCTGAGAAAAACTCTGCTTCTCCAGACATAAAAGTCACGCAAGACTCTATTAAAAAGCAAAAATATAAAAAGATTTTGATGAAAGTTTTAAAACATACAAATATCAAGGTGAAAATTCAAACATTCCGTGTTTACTTGCGTAATAATCACACTTCCCCCCCCAATTTTTCATTGTGAAAGTGTAGATGCGATTATTATGCGGGGAAATCTACTACACCATATTGCACACTTTTGGTCACTTTTTCTGCTTCAAACCGGGGATGCTACTATTACGTGCGTGAAAACGGTATATTCGGAAATGGTACCTTTAAAAATAAGTTCATC